TCATGGAAATATACTTTTATTTAAGCAAATGAACAGAAGCACCTAGTCCCCTAGTTGCAGTTGAAGCTACTATAACCCCCCAGCCCTCCTGATTCAGTCTAGCACCCCCACCCCCAGTAAAACCTACTTTGGAAAATACTGACAGAGAATTTGACCTTGTAACTAGTCATGGTTGCTTAAGACACAGAGGTGAGTAGCCGTATTAACAATATAATTAAAGGATTTAACAAGAAAGAACTTCTTGGTTCTAAATATGCTTTAACAGACATGAACATTCTAGCAGTACCAACATAAGTTCATACTGCCTTAATTTAACTTATGTGTAGCAAATTTGTTCAATAAGTTTTCATTCCCACTTCATACTGCTCTTGTCATGTATATTACCTCTCTAGATGCTATAAACCCAATAAATTTTGCTTATACAGACGTCATCTGCTATCCAAAGGTAGAACATTAGAGCCAGAGAGAAAGTCCACTGGATAAGCCGCTTGCCTTGCATATAGCTGACCTAAGTTCAATCCCCAGTTCTACCCAAAGCCCCACCAGTAGTGATCCCTGAGCACAGAATCAGAAGTAAACTCCAAGCACAACCAGGTGTAGAGCCCCAACACCACCCACAAATAAAAACAGAAACAAAAGTAGAACATTCCTTTTGGTATGATATGGTAGATTATTTGGGGGGACTAGAAGTGAAGGAAGAAAAAGTACTTCAATTTACTATTTGCCATTTATAATACCTCTCCCCTAACCCCCATGAATTTGAGTCCATCCTACAGGCTTGTTTTATTTGGTGCACACCATATTCTACTATCTTCTTGGCCTATCCCAGACTTTTAGTAGTCTTATGAACCATCTATTCTACCTTTGCATGAAGCATGGGTATCTAAATTATTTAAAGTATTGGAATATTTAAAGCTGGAGAAGCTTCTCTGGGAGATCAGTGTGAAAGTAGCCTGTACAGTCTGGGATGCCACAGGGAGAGTGAATCTTGCAGAGTAGTGGACTCTGCACAGCTAAGCTGAATCCCTGCATGTGAGGGTTTCCAATTTTGCGCGTCTAGATTCCATTTGATTAGAGCAGATAGCATAGTATCACATTAAAATATTTAGTTGCGTCTCTTTAGACTTTCCATTGGTGCATGTATGAGCTAAAATGAGCATAGGCTAAATTAAACTTTTAAAATCTGAACCCTCTCTCTATACAGTCATTTTGTTAACTCAAGATAATTCTAACTTTTTTTTCCTCTTTGCATTTCCTCTGCACATTTTCCACGCTTATATCTCTTTAGGGTCTTTTGCCTCCCACACTCTTTTTTTTTTTTTTTATTCTTTTTATTTATTTATTTATTTATTGAATCACTGTGGGAAAGGTTACAAAGCTTTCAGGTTTATGTCTCAGTCATGCAAATATCAAACACATTTCCCTTTACCAATACTTATTTTTTACCATGAAGAACCCCAATAAAACCCCACCCCCCACCCCTCCCCGTCCCTGTGTGCCTCCCACACTCTTTCTCTGCCTTCTGCATGATGTTGATCATTTTCTAAACCTTATTAATCATATCTCTGTTTAAGGAGCACATCTTCGGTCAGGCCTTTCTTTTCACCAAATCTTAATTGTCACTGCAGTGCCTCCAGAATCAAGGTCCCTGTTTTACTTCACTCATCGCATTTTTATTATTTGGATTATCTCATTTTTCATCTGCTCTGTGTTTCCAGGGGATTGTAAATTCCATGAGATCCAGGACTTTGTCTTGATCGTAGGAAGAGATACAGTGAGCTCTAATCTGTTGCTGGAGTTACATGTGGAGTGATCCATCCATATGCATTGCATAAATACGTATTAGTTGAAGGCAGAATTGAGTTAGACAGTGGGACTTACAAGAAACCTGGCAAGCCAGGCTTGGCCCCAGGTCTGTGATGGAGAGAGGGGGAAAGCAGAGGAAGGGAGTCCAGGCTCTGGCTGTGAGAATCAGCCTTGTGTGGAGTCAGGGAAGTGGTACAAGCCACAGAGTGTATGAATGTATGTTTCGCATGCATGTGTTCAGTTCCCAGTATTGCACGGTGCCCCCCAACCCCAAGTACCACTACGAATAGCCATTGTGGCCCCTGAGCACCATCATGAGTGGCCTCTGGAAGGAAAAATAAACCCGGATTATCGGCAGAGGCTTATATAGGTTGTGTCCACAGAAGCCCACTCTAGCCTCCAGCAGTGGTTCACTCGGCCCTCACTGTGCATCCACCCACATGTTCACCCCCAGTGTCACTAGTAGAGGGGAACTGTCCCTTTTATTTCTTGTGTATGTCCATCTGCATATTGAGGTGGACATGTACGTGGCGACTCTGGAGAATGGGAGCAGCAGGGATATCCACACCTGACATCGCATGGGCAGCTCTTCTCCATGAGCTAACCCCTCACCAGGGTCCAGCCAACAGGCTCACACTATTTTCTTGCTGTCAATCTATCTGTAATCTGTACCAACATTTAAATTTGGGTAAGTAAAGGCCCTCCCATTGATCATCGATTTGCTCAAGCGGGCCCAGTAACGTCTCCATTGGAGACTTTGTTGTTACTGTGTTTGGCATATCGAATACGTCACGGGTGGCTTGCCAGGCTCTGCCGTGTGGGCAAGATACTCTTGGTAGCTTGCCGGGCTCTCCGAGAGGGGTGGAGGAATCGAAATCGGGTCGGCGTCAAAAATTTGGGTATGAATTACATTAAAATCTCTATTTGGGCAGTACTCCTACATTCACACTTGATTTAAAAAAAAAAATCTCTGTTTGGGAACCAGAAAGAGAGAGAAGGGGGGATCAGGCTCTTCTTGCCCCTTTTTATTTTATTTCACAGGGTGGTTGGAGGACTAAATAGAGAGCCCGGCAAGCTACCGAGAGTATCTCACCCACACGGCAAAGCCTGGCAAGCTCCCCTTGACGTATTCGCTATGCCAAACACAGTAACAACAAAGTCTCACAATGGAGACGTTACTGGGCCTGCTCGAGAAAATCGATGAACAATGGGAGGACAGTGACAGTGATACCCGACAGTACTGAGGATTCACTCCTGGCTCAGATATCACTCCTAGTAGCGCTTAGGAGACCATTGGGGTGTCAGGGATCAAAACAGGGCCCGCTACATGCAAAGCAAGCATCCTACCCACTGTTACTGTCTCTCTGGCCCTGAGCCCCTCCCCATTCCTGACCAGACACCACACGCCCAAACACCAGTGCACGGGCCCAGAATGGTGACATATGTGAATGTCACCGTGGCTTAGACAACAGTAGTAGGTGGTTAATCTTCAGTAGAAACAATGACAATTGTTCACATGTGGCTAGAATTCTGCATAAATCTCTCACTCCAGCAAAACCTTCTAGGGCTCCCCATTGCTTGCCAGAGACACGCATATGCCTAACCTGGCAGTAGTTTGACCTGGCTCCACTGCCCCATCTTCTGTAAAGACAGCGGGGTCCCAACCATGGGGCTTCTCACCAGGAGAAACAGCCCCATGGGCTCAGGAGGCTTACACGAAGAGAAAAAGGCCCTTTCCCCGCTGGAGAAACCCGTGTGCTCTCTCCAAAGATCTCGCATTCTCTTCCCTCACATTTCTCTTAAAGAAATTTCTCTAGGTAATAGTATTTTATTTCACAGGGTCGTTGGGGGACTAAATTGAAAAACAGAGACAAGAAAAACAATGGAAATCCTTCACACCAGCCCCGCCCACAGACGCACCTTCCACTCCCTAACATGCACCCGCCCCCTGGTTGCAGTCAGTTCTGAACCGCTTGTTCACAAATGTATTGTTTTTGGGGTTTTTTTTTTTTTGAGTCATGCACGTGGCCAACCCGGGTTTGATTGCTCTGTCCCTCTCAGAGAGCCCGTCAAGCTACTAGAGTATCCTGCCCAGACTGCAAAGCCTGGCAAGCTCCCCATGCCGTATTCAATATGCCAAAAACAGTAACAACAAGTCTCACAATGGAGATGTTACTGGTGCCCGCTTGAGCAAGTCAGTGAACAACGGGAGGACAGTGCAGTGCAGTGCTACTATGATTTACAATACTGATAATGATAAGGGTTCACATATACAGCGGTCAGCACCGCCTCCCTCAGAGTGTTCCCTTCTCTCCACCACTGTCTCAGGGGCCCCCCTCCCCCTCACTGCCCTCCCTGCATTCACAAAAATTATGTTGAACAAAAAAGGAGGAGGAGGAGGACACTGAGAGATAGTGCAAAGGACTGGAGCACATGTCTTGCATATATGAGGTTCTAACACCATGTATGATGTTTGGGAACCCCTAAACATCATTGGAACCAAACAGTACCACTTCTCCATTTGGGTCCAATATGCTGGAAGTGACCCCTGGTTCCCCTGAGCATTATTTGGGAGGTGATTTCCCACTGATCCCCAAAGAGTTGATGAAATGCATTGGCTCCATGGTCCCGTTTGAAGGGCATCCTGAGGGAGACCAGAAGGCTGATAACAGACCAATGAGCAATACAAGGTGATGAAGAGAGGGCACTACTGTCATTCATCTCTGGTTAGGCTGTGTGAACAAATCCCAATGTGCACCAGCCTGGAGTTGACTGTACCAAGTGATCGATTTCCAGCTCCTCTCAGCATCTTCTCTTGTTTGGGTCATACCTCTTAATCAAAACTGAAGTCAAAATGTAGCTTCAAAACCTAGAATTTTAAATAAAATTTATAATTTTTGTTTTATTTTAAAGGAGTAAGTCAGGGGTCAGAGCATTAGTACAGCAGTAAGGTACTTGCCTTACACATGACCAACCTGGGTCCGATCTCTAGAACCCCATTTAGTTCCCTGAACCTCACCAGAGTGATTATAAGAAAATAAAAAACCAACTCTGAATGCAGAGCCAGGAGCAGGCTCTGAGCACCGCTGGGTGTGGCGTCAAGATAATAAAATAAAAGAGTAAATCAAACTTCTGTGTATTAAGTTTTTCAAAATAACTCACTGGCAATTCTGACCCAACCCTGATTCTTACAGGAACACCCAATACTCGGGCAACCATTTTTTGTACTTCATCCCTGCAAGACGAATGAATTCATGATGCCCGTGTTAAAGAATTCCCGGAAAATCAATAGGTAAGAAACACCATCAAGATACATTGACTTTTACTCTTGTTCTAAAAGTGTAAATCTTTTTTGTGACTCTAAAAACTAAGCTAAAAAAAGAAATATTGTTTGTAATAATAAGAATGGCTAACGTTTATTGATTTTTTTGCTATGTGCTCAGCCCTGTGCTAAGTATTTTAGATATATTAAGGTGTTGGGTTTTCTCACACCCCTATGAGCTAAGTACCGGTCTTTAACCCAGTTTATAGAAGAAGACTCTAAGGCAGAGGGAGCGTCAGTGACTCCACCAGGGTCAACTGTTAGATGGTTTAACTGGGAATTGAACTCAGACTTTCTTGCCTCAGACCCACCATGCACATTACCAGCACACTGTGTTCTCAACAAAGGCTGTCAATTTTAAATTTGAAAATTGAAATTAGAGTTATCAAGGGTGATCAAGGCTGGTTTTTCTGGCTTTTTTCCCTCCTTAGCGAGGGATTCCCCAGTCTCTTCAGACAATGTGCCCTCATCACACAGTGATACTGGCATCTAAATATGCTTGATTCCAAGTGGTGGGCATACAGGATGCAGCAACTGCCTGGTTTCTCATTGTACCAGTGACGTCTCCCATCCATCCCATCTATACAAAAGCTTTAGCATTGCCTGTATTTCTCTTTTCCCCAGCAATGTCAACTACATCACATCATGGCTGAGCATCGTGGGGCCAGTCGTGGGGCTCAGTCTACCTCTGAGTTATGTGGGAGCCGCCCCTCAGGATGAATGAAATGGTGATGCACAAGGTAAAAAGCGAAGTAGGCATTGGATATTTTCCTGTTACAAGATATCACAGTATCTCTGAAGCACTTGGATGTTGCTCTTATGGGTCCCACCATATATGAATTTTGCTTTCTCCTTTAATAGGTTCAACGCTGTCTTTTGGCTTTGTTTGATTTTCCAGCCAACCAGTGCCCAATCAATTAGGAGGCATTTCCTTTGCTGTAATAACGCACACACCATAAAACTGGATTTGTGTGTGTGTGGTGGTGGGCAGGCACGGGGTGGTATGTTTTGTTCTGATTTGGTTTTGACTAACCAAGCTGAAGGATTGAACATGGTAATGCAAGATTGCCTGGGGGCAGTAGTGCTGAGCTACATCTTGCAGTGCTCTGGGGACTATGTAGTCCAGAATCAAACTTTGGTCCTGGCACACACGAGGCACGGACCCCTGAACACTGCAGTGCCCAGCACATCCTCCCCAGCACGCGACTGGATGGTTTTATTTTAGAACTTACATTCTTAAATAGTCTTGATTGGTCAGTTAACCGCTTCTCTTCTCTTGTTTTGTTTCTTTTTGTTCTGTAGATTCTTCTACTGAGCCCAGGGATCTTCGAAACTCCAGCATGAAAAACACCAAGACTTTACCTGGTCTGCCCTGGCTAACTAGGACCAAAGCCTCTACAATATTTCAACTCTCCAAGATTGCGACATAGATTTTTTGTTTCCCCTTGAAGCAAATGTCTGCTGCAACTGATATACTGTATGTTTGGAAGAAATGCCTCAAAGACACAAATATAATTTTTGCTATAAATAACTGAAAATGAGTCTAACTCAATGATAGAGACACTGACATCATCAGGGTGCTTCCGGGTCATTCTTTTCTGGGCCAAGCACTTCACATCTCATTTTCTGATATGCAGGTTGGTAGAGAAATGAATTTGTGGATTCATTTTAATATAAGATGGATGAAAATTAAAATATAGGATTTACATGTCCCCAGAAGCAATGTCATCAAACACGATCTTGCTTAAGTTACTCTACCACAGTCATACCCAGGGACAATGGATTAGTCTGTGTCACTCCAAAAGCACATGCTTGTGCATGTGTGTGTAGGTAAAGAAAAAAGACAATATTTTATTATTTATGAGATCATGTTCTTTCACAAGCAAAATATTGTTTTTATTTTTTCTTTTGTTTGTTTCTGTTTGTGGGTCACATCCAGCTGTGGTTAAAGCTTATTCCTGGCTCTGTACTCACGGATCACTCCTGGTGGTGCTCAGGGGACCATATATGTAGTACTGAGGATCAAATCATTGCCAGCTGAATTCGAGGCAAGCACTTTACCTCTGTGCTATTTCTTCAACTCCTAAGCACATGTATTAAGGTAGCCCTAACATGACAACATTTTGTATTCTGGTTGACTTTTCTGTTTGTTTGTTTGTTAATTCAGTTTGTTAATTCAGATTGGGGGCTATACTCAGTAGTTGTGGGGGGATTTTTCTGACTCTCTGTTCAGGAGTGACCACTGGCGGTGCTCAGGAAACCAGATATGTGGTACTGGGGATTGAACCAGAGTTGGCAACGTGCAAGGCAAGCAATTTACTCACTACTATCTCTTCAGCTATTGTTTTTGTTTCTTAATTAATTTTTATATTGCATGGATTACATGATTATAGTAATGTTAGCACTTATGGGGTTTTTCTTTTTGCTTTTTGGGTCACACCGGGCAATGCTCAGGGGTTACTCCTGGCTCATGCACTCAGGACTTACTCCTGGCTGTACTCAGGGGACCATATGGAATGCTGGGAATCGAACCAGGGTCGGCCATGTTGACTGCATGCAAGGCAAACGCCCTACCCACTGTGCTATCGCTCCAGTCCCATAACTTATGGTTTTGATGTATGAAGTTACTGCACCTTCATCATCACCAAAGTGTGCATGGCCTTCCTCCACTGTCACTCTGTCTCCTCTGGTCCACCTTTGCCCTCTCTCCCATACCCCTACCCACATCACGAACCTCCATTCCCAACTACTTGTAATCTAAATTTTATAATTTAAGGCCAAGAGAGTTGGGTTCTTGAGTTTTTATTGTTGTTTTTCATTTTAATTTGACAGGAGTTGAACAAGGAGAAAAATTGTTTAAAGGAGATGCAAGGAGAGATTGTGAATTACCATCTGTCAATGAGAGATGGACCTTAAAGTCACTTAAGGATCTGTAACACAGTCCTCCAGGAGAAATGCTAGGACAGCAACTCCCATACCCTCCATGAGTCACACACACACACACACACACACACACACACACACACACACTTCTGGGTACGTGTCTAATCTGGATGCCCTCACCGTGGTATATATCTGTGTGGTTTTGGTTCCTAAGACAGGCCTTTTGCAGTTCTGTGCAGGGCCTCAGCAAGAGACTTGAGAGATAGTAGGGTGGTAAGGCACTTGCCTTGCATTCCCCTGACCTTGGTTCTCTCCCCAGCACTGCATGTGGTTTCCTGAACACTACCAAGAGTGACCCCTGAACACAAAGATAGGAATAGCCTCTGAGCACCCCATGGGGTGACTTAAAATCACTTCCTCCTCCCTCCCCCCCTCACCCACCCACCACCACCAAATTAGCCCCAACCAGCTAGACTTCCTTGCTCACATGTGTCCCAGCATCATCACCTGAGACCCTTGGAGAATAATTTAGACCTCATTGTTCCCAGAAGGCCTACGAAGTGGGGAGCAGATGGAGTTAGCCCAGGCCCCTGACAGTGCTTACCGGAGTCTGTAGGTCAAGGGCTGAGCTTTCGCTCAGGGAGCAGAAGTTGAGAGTAGGTTAATTCAAACTTCTAGACAAGCTAAAAGTAAATTTTAAAATGCTGAGCTGCACACATTCATGTTGGATGAGAAGCTGCCTCCATGCTTGCTGAGCATTTTGGTATTTACCACTTAACATCTCTGCAACTTCCACAAGGGATCTCCCCCTCCTCTCCCTAATGTAAACACAGATTTCTCAGCAAGTCATTTCTCAAGTTGTGTCACTTCTGGGGTGGAACAAAAATACTAATAACGCAAGAACTTAACAGCAATGCATCATTTGGATGATGTACCCGTATGGAGGTATTAGTTAGGCTTTGCTAACAGATTCTGAAATGAGTCTTTCAGTTGAGATCTAGTGTATGTATAGCTGTTTTAGAAAGTTAAAAACATTTTTATCCTAATTGATGAAGACCTGAAAATGTGTCAGTGGCAGAAAATATATGAGTTGCTCAGGGAGAATGGAGCCCTCCCTTCCCAGACCCAGCCAGTTCACTCTTCCCCTCCCAGAATGTTTTGGTGGTTATTTTGTTTAGTTGTTTGCTTTTTGTTCTCTTTGGTTAGTTTAGTTTTGGTGCTCAGGGATTACTCTTGGCTCTACACTCAGGGGTGTAGGGTTTGGGAGACCATTTGGGGTGCCAGAGATTGAATCCAAGTCAGCTGCCAGGTACAAGGCAAGAATCCTACTCCCTGTATTATCACTCCAATCCAGAATGTTGTTTTTTTTTTTTTAAACAAACTTTTAATTGGCAGTTGACTGGAAATATATTTACATTTTTTAAAAATTGTGTGCATAACATTGTTATCCTGATGGTTATAAAATATTGGGAAATGCTTTGTTGGGTTAAAATAACAGTTCATTCTCCACATTATGAAGATATTTCTTCTAGCCTCCTGTCCAGGGCTTGCAGTGCAAAGCCTTTTAGTCAGAAATAAGGCCAGTTAAAGCTCCAAACAGCCAATCTTCTTAATTTTGCTTTTGTCTGGCCTTGGAAAAAAATCACCTCATCTTCCTGGTTGTCCATTTCCTCATTGAGAAAATGAAGCAATTCAACCCTCTGACTTCCCTGACTCTGATTCGTGGATCTGTGAAAAGAGGAGTCAAGAGCTCTAGACGAGTCTGGCTCACTGCTAATGGTGTGTGACTTTGCTAATTTTCTTAATCTCCTTTAGTCTTTTACCATTTCTACTTTGGGGAAGAAAAGCCTATAATATCCTCCTCACCTGACAAGGACTTAGGGAAGATGAGAACAGTAAATAAGCTTTAGTGTCTCACAGCCAGTGCTGGTGGGTCATCATCCTATCAGGGTCAGAACCCCAGCTCCCCTCCAGGCTCCTGCCAGAAGCCCCGAAAGGCCAGGCAAGTATTGATTTGGGGCTGGAGAGATTGTATAACTGACCCTGGTTCTAATTTCGGCACCGCATGGTCCCCTGAGCACTGCTACAAGTACCTCCCTAGCAGAATCAGGAGAAGCTCTTCCCTGAGCAATAACAGGTGTGGCCCATCCCCTAATAAAATAAACATAGCTCCCTAAAAAGTTTAATTTCAAGGAAGAGAGATAGAACAGGGGATAAGTTTTGGTGCCTCTGCTGGAGCGGTAAAGCAGGTATGGAGTTTGCCTTGCACGCGGCCAACCCGGGTTTGATTCTTCCATCCCTCTCAGAGAGCCCGGAAAGCTCCTCGTGGTGTATTTGATATGCTAAAAACAGTAACAACAAGTCTCACAATGGAGACATTACTGGTGCCTGCTCAAGCAAATCAATGAACAACGGAAGGACAGTGCTACATATATATACATATATATAATATATATGTATTTATATATTCCCTTGAGCATTATTGGGAATTAGCTCTGAGCATCACTATGTGTGCCCTGCCTGACCCCCAAACCAAAAACCCAAAATCAAAACAAAAAAAAAATCAGAAAAACATGTGTCGATCTCAAGTATAAAACCTACAAGCAGAGGTTACAATATCAAAGCCTTTTAAAATAGAAAGAAAAGGAGGAGTCAGAATTAAATTTTGCATCTATTTCTCCCGACCTCTGAGCTGTTTGGAACTGGAGATCTGCATGGTCAGAAGCAACTCTTCCCGAAGTCCCAGAGCAGATATGCTCATGTGCTGGAGTGCGGGATACTACAGGATTAAAATGTGTGGATAAAACAACGCGAGTGCCCTCTTTAGCAAAATGCCTCCTGAGCTCCTGTTACAGTGTGGGTGGTGTGGAGAGCAAACCAGAAGCCGGATCCTGGCTCTCAGAGTACCTATGTCCTATGGAGCAGACAGACAAGATTTCGGGCAGCAGGATGCATCGTGGAAAGCATACACCAGGCAAGATTTGCACAGGGTGACATGAGCGGAGTCCCCAGAAAGGCAGGATTCAGCCAGGTGAAGCATGAGGAAGGAGGAGCTGGGGAATAGCTCAGTTGCAAAAGTACCAGCCTTGCAGACATGGGTCTGTGAGTCCAATCCCACACCACATGTCCAACACAATTATGGCAGCACAACAAAAATATTGTGTGATCTCTGGCAAACTACAGCCAAGTGTGTGAGCACTGAAGTGTGTGCTCCTGGGGGCGAAGAGGGGGCACAAGTGCACCAACACAGCCAAGTGTGATCCTGTCAGGCACCACTATCAAGAGTATGAACTACCGGATGTAAGCAACTCCTGGTCTACAGATTAGACAACAGGGAAGGAAAGGAGAATTTTGTTTGTTTTACTTTTTTGGGGTCACACCCGGAAATGCTTAGGGGTTACTCCTGGCTCTGCACTCAGGAATTACTCCTGGTGGTGCTCGGAGGCCATATGAGATGCTGGGATCGAACCAGGTTGGCTTATGTGCAAGGCAAATGCCCTACCCCTGCTGTACAATCACACCAGCCCCGGAAAGGAGAATTTTTTAAAGCAAACAAAGGAGAAGAAAGAAAAGCCATTAGCAGTGTGAATGGTGACCATGGTGATCAAGAATCAGACAGGTTCCTGGGAGGTGCAGGTGGCTTAAAGGCTGAGCACGTGCTTTGTATGCAGGAGGGCAGGCATTGCATGGTCACTGAGCATGACCAAGAGCATCCTCACACACCAAACTGTGAGTAGCCCTTGAGCACTACTGGGTGTGGTCCCCTCCTAAAATGAGGTGGGGGGCCCAGGGGAGATAACAGAGATAACAGAGCCAGGGACACATGCTTTGCCTACACAGGACCACAGTTTAGCCCCTGCCATCA